CTTAAAAAAATTGTTTAAATGTTTCAGTATCAGAAATCACGTTTCAACCTAATCTATGTTGCCTCTTTACCGTATAGCATTAAATCTAGGACATCGCTATTTGTAAGCTGCCGTGTTATTTTAAGCACCAATAAGAATAATACCAATAAGGGGGAAAAAAAACACTGTCAGTCCCTAGACACCATTGACTATAAAACCCATCCCATTTTCAGAAATGTTCAAATGAAAAACATGCATCTTAGCTCAATGAAAAACAGTAGACATCACTAGGTCTCTCTAAATAACCCTCTATTCTTCCATCCATTAAACAAATATCTATCTGGCCACCTACTTTGTGCCAGGCACTGCTCCAAGCACTTCACGGGAAAGGTCTCTGTTCAACTTTTACAACCGCGCTATGATAACACCCATTGTATAGCTGAGCAAGCTGAGGCCCAGAGGGGTTGTCCAGGGTCAGACGGTAAGGAAGGGGCAGAGCTGGGGTTCTGAATTCAGGCAGTCCGGCTCCAGACCAGTGCTCTGGATCACGCTACAAAAGCAAGTGACCAAGACAAGCAGAAACGCCTGCCTTCACAGACCTGACAGTCTAGCAGGAAAGGAACCAGATAAACATGGAAAACAGAAAATATGGTGGGTGGTGATTTCTCCCTCGCTGTGTGTATTCACCCCTTCCATCCACTGTCCACCATCCTCTCTCTCCCTCAGTCCGCTAATGGCCCCCTGTCCGCCCTGCTCCCTCCCCACGCGGGGGTCTCGTGGCCCTGGGGGTGCTGCTATCTTTCCAGCAGGAGCCGCCTTTGCTGTGAGTCAGTGGGTCCTGTCTTGTCCCCTGTCACTGTAAGGGTCTGCAGGTCCCAAGGTCCTGAGAGAGAAGGGAATGGCCGGGGTCACTCAGAGAGCCGGGGACAGGTGACAACCAACTCTAGTCTGAGTCCAGGCAGAGAAATTCTCTTCTCTCTCAGACACTTCCAGGCAGTTCTTTTGTCTCTGGTCTCTGAGTCTCCCAGCTGGCTCCATGTGTATCTGTCCATCTCTTTCCCCCCCGCCCCCCCCCCCGTCTCAGTACCTCCCTGCTCTTGCCCTCTCCCCCTCCCCTCTACTCCCCAGTCTCCATCCAAGCTTCCTCTCCTCCAGCCCTGTCTCTCCCCATCTCTTTCTCACCCCTCTGTCTTCACCTCCTTCTCCTGTCTCTCTCTCATCTCTCCCCAACCCCCCTGCCTGTCCCTCCTCGTGACTCTCCCCAACCCTATCGCTCTCCCCCCACCCTATCTCTCCCTGTCTCTCTCTGCCCCCCTCTCCTGCCATGTCTCTTTCCCTCCAGCACATCTCTGGACCTCTCTGTCTCTTCACCTCAGCATCACCATCCCCCCAGAAGCCTCCCATTGAAACTGGAATCACAGCTACCCCTCCTCCACGCACTGGTGTCCCCACCACCACCTTGGCTGATTCTGCCCTCTCCTCAGGATAAGGGAAGCGGGTCCTTCAGAGCTGAGGGGAGGCAATGGACTCAGGGGCATCCACAGAGAGTTCCTAAATCCCTCCGTGACCCTCACTCCAATTCTCCAATTCCATGAGCGTCCTCTGTATCACAGAGGAAGAATGACTGGGACCCCAGGGCCCTCCTTTTCTGGGTCCCCACCCACCCGGAAGTCCTCCTTGAGGTCTGACCTCAAGCACTCCAGCTGCCCTAATCCACCCTTGGCTTTCCCACGCCCCAGGGCTGGGATGAACCCCCAGTGTCCGGGTGTGAGCCGGATCTCCCCTGCCAGGGCGGGGCTGAGATTGGGGGGAAGCCCTCAGGGGACCTGCACCCCCATCCCAGGAGGCTGGAATTTCTCTCCTTTCATTTCCTTATTGTCTCTGGGGGAGGGTGTGACAAGGAGCAGAGGAAGGCCGCGTGAAGCCAGAAGCCTGGTTTCTAGTCCCAGTCCCAGTCCAGATCCTCCAGCAGCCCCCAACACTTGGAGAGGCTTCAGAGTTCCCATCTCTAAAAGGGGGGAGCACTTGGACCAGCTGATCTGTGAGAACTGGAGGCCAGTCGGGACACCCCAGGGTGCTAACTTTCCAATTTCCTTCCTGACAGGGAGCCTGACTGGGGGTGTCAATCACCCCAGCAGGAGGGTGCTGTGAGCAAGGAGCAGTTTGGGGACCCTCTTAGTTCTTAGTTGCTGAGTGAGTGCAGATGTTTCTCTCCCTATTGTTCTGACCCAGGGGGAGGAGGTGGCTCAGCGGATGGGAAGGCTGGGGACACCATATTTCCATTTCCGGCCCCCCATATGTTAACTCTTCCAAAATATGCTGTCAAATGTGAATCATTTCTAGACTGTCCCTCAATTTCTGACACAATTTCAATGTGCAAACGCAAATTCTTACACTTCAGACTGTGCCCCAATAGCGACTCCTCCATCCTTAGACCCACACAACTTACTTCTTAAAGATGTGCCCCCCACCCAAACATAGATCTGTAGTTGGGTCTTCTTCAATCATGTCCCCAGGCTCTGAACTCTCTAGGGGTTCAGCAACCCACCCTCCTCCCCCCACCACTATCTGGGAGCCTCCACTTCCAACCTGGTCTCTCTCTGCCTCCCCCACCGTGCAAATTCACCTTCAGCTCTCAGCCCTCCCAATTCCTTCCCTGGTCGGCCTGCCCCACCCCACGTGCACCTCACACCTCCATAGTCCCAGGACTGGCCCCTCCTGGGCACTTTGCCAATTCCCTCAGGCCTGGGAAACCAGGAGTCCCACCCCGAGGTTCAAACCCCAGACCCAGGACTCAGGCACAGTGGGGCCCCTTGTAAGCCCCCAGATCTCTAAATCCTTGGGGATCTCAAACATTCCAGTCCCCCTCTGACCTGAAGCCCAAAGTCTCCTTCCAGGTTAAGAAACCAAATGTCCGGACCCCCATAACCTTCCTACTAGGACCCCTCCCCTGCCATTTCACAATCTTGTCTAGAAAGAACAAGCTAAGGAGGAGCCCTTGCAGCAATGGGAAAGGGAGTTAGACTTGGGGAAGGACTTTCCTTCTGCAGAGGTGAGGGAATTACGATACACCCTGCCCCCTACTCTAAGGGTGGCCTTGTCAGAGATGGGACAAGTGAGGACATTAGCAATTACTGGAGATTACTGGAAGGGGGGGTGTGTGTGAAATCTGAAACCCTCCAGCCTCCAACAAGCAGTATCCCTGCTGAGGGTCTCTAAAAACAATTAAACCACTGAAGTTCAGTCGGGAGGGGTAAGGATCATGAATAGAGATGGGGGTGGATATTGACCCCTCTCCTGACAATGCCGTTGCTCACATCTGCTCTCAGGCTCCCAACTCTGACCCCATCTGGGCCCCCATCTCTCTGAGCCCCAACTCTCACCCACCTGTTATTACAGGTTCCCAAACCATGTTTCATCTCTGAGCACCTCCATCTCTTAACTTTGAGCACCAATCCCTATTTCTGACTCTTAGGTCGCCACCCCAAAGATGCTTATCCCCCAATCCCAATTCTGATTTCTACCCCAGAACCCCCATCTTTAACTATATTCTATCCCTGAGCTACCACCTCAGACTTTCCTTAATGGTGACCTTTTTCTCCCATCTCTTAGCTCCGGTCTCTGGAACCCCATTTCCTAATCCCCCAGCTCTGTCCCCTATCCTGGAACTCGGGTTCCTATCTTTGTTTTTTGTTTTTTCATTTTAATCCCTTGGATTTTGGGTCCCCAACACCCAGTCTTCACGTTTAAACTATGACCTGACCCTTGCCTAAATTTTTCCGTTTGAGCCCTCGCTCCAACCAGCCTAAACCGCACTCCCACGCCTCGTCCCCCATCCCTGACTCCTACACCTGGTCTGCGTGTCTCTAGTTCCTCCGCTCCTCAACTGTAGTTGGGGCCCCCTTTTGATCCCACACCCCATCCTTGCCCCCCATTCACGCTCGCACCCTGATTCCTGCCCCCCACTTCCCGCTCCGCCATCCCCGTGGACACACCTCGCCCGCCTCCGGGTAGTAGCTCCACTCGGCCAGGTCATGGGCCTCCATCTTCACCGAGCCCAGCATCCCCCGGGCCTGCGCCCCCTCCCGCCCCCGCTCCGGCCCGGGGGGAACCGAGCGCTTCAGATCTCTCAGCCGGCACGGCCCGAGTTCCGACCGGTGCCCGCCCGTCCGACCGCCCGGGGTCCCAGCCGTCCTGGGCGCCGCGGGAGGCGGCCACGCTTTATAGCTGGGACACCCCCGCCCCCCGCCCTCTCCCGCCCCGGGCTCCCCTCCCGCCTCCCCGAGGGCGGCGCGCTCGGACTGGGGCGCCCCCTGCGGGATTGCGCGGAGACAGACCTCAGGCGCCGGGAGCCGCAGCCCGGGGCCACGAGAGCTGGAGGTGGCTGAAGAGAGGGAGCTACGGGTGGGAGACACTGCCGATGCTAAAGGCCCCAAGGGCAGAGTTCTGGGGCTCTTCTACGCCAGCGGGTTTCATCACCTCGACAGGAGAAGGCGAATAGCCAGAGCCCAGCATGACCGCGGCGGAGGAGAGGGACCTCAGAGCGCAGTGGACTCCAGAGGTCTGTATATGCTACCATAGGGACCGTAAGAGACCCTCGAACCCCCATTCCCATTGGACGGACAGGAAGACTGAAGCTTCCGACAACTGGAAATGCTCCAGACTGCGTAAATGGTCAGGACCTAAGGTGGACGGGATCGGGGACTCTGCTTAGACTCCACTGGGGCAACAGACCACCTCCAGGACCTAGGAGCTTAGTCGCCCGGACTCTCCACCCTCTCTAACACCAGCCGTCCAGGGACTCAGAACAACCGTGAACTCCATTTCCCAGAAGCCTCTACCTCCCTTTCCGTCCAGTGCCTCTGCTAAGGGACTACATTTCCCTTAAGGCATGGCGTTCAAAGGCCGGAAATGAAAGGCATCCCGGCGTCGTCGGGGGGAGGGCGGAAGGCCTCTCGCGCCGCAGGAGGTAGGGGCGGGGTCGGGCCGCAGTGTGGACTCCATTTCCCGGCGGCCCTGTGTGCGCGGCGCGTGCGCAGTGTCCCGGCGGCGAACGGAAGATGGCGACGGCGGCGTCTGTGAAGAGGCGCTGCTGAGGGGGCGCGAGGGGGACGGAGGCCGGCGCCGCGGTGAGCGGGGGGCGGTGTGGGGGCCCGGGAACGAAGGGGGGAGGGACTCTGAAGCGGCAGGGGCGCTGGCCGGCGGGTTGGGGCGCTGCGAGGAAAGGGGAGCAGTGACGTTCGGGACCCCAGTTTCTTCCCCAGCTCAGGACCCTCCCGTGGCTTCCCAGTGCCCTCAGGGCAAAGTTCCAACGTGGCCCCCAAGGCGCGTCCGCCCCGCCGGCCCCGGCTCGGCCTCTCTGCTCGTTCCTCACTTCGCACAGTTGCACTAGCCTTCCGGTTCCTCAAACTCGCCATGCGCCTTTCCGCCTCAGGATTTTTGCACATGCTGTCCCCTTTGCCCGCAACATCCTTTTACCCATTCTGCCTGGCTAACTCCCATTCATCTTTCGGGTCTCGGCATCAACGTCACTTCCTCTGCGAAGGCCTCCTTTCCCGCCCTCCGTCCCGAAATCCGCCTGTTAAACGCTCTCATAGGTCCTTGTCCCTTTCCTTCATGTCACATGTGGTCTGATTTATCATTGGACCTTTATTTGTGGGGTTTTTCGATTAGGTCCTTGACCGTGAACCCCACGGGGACAAGAGTATGTGTTGGTCATCGCTGTGTTCCTAGCACAGCGCTGGTCGCACTGAAGACGCCTGGTTAATGTTCGTTGAATGAATGAAAGATACTCCTGGGGTTACTCCGTGCATGAGGGGTGGCGTCATAGCCCCAAGTGGGAGTGGGGCAGTGGTACTCCATAAGGAGTACACCGGGAGGGAAGGGGAAACAGGGATTGTTGGTAATAGCAAAAAGACTGCAAGCACCCCAGGTGTTCTTCAGTAGGGAGACTGGCAGAAAAAAAGCTGATAACATCCACATTATAAAATACTATGCAACTATTAAAGGGAATGGGGGGTTGGGGGAAGGGAATGAAGAAAATGTCTCTACATTGATATAGAGAGTGGGCTCCAGAATATATTAAGTGAAAACAAACAAAAGAGAAGGCCATGCTAATTATATGCTCCCTTTTTACAAAAGAAAGGGAAATGTGTATAGACCTTGTTTTTTTTGTTTTTTTTAAGGATAAACCAAGAAGTAGAAGAAGAAGAACACAGGGTTAAACGAAAAAAAAAAAGCTAGATCTCAATCTATTATTGTCATGGAGAGAGTGGAAAAGTTGGAAAGGTTCATCAGGAAAAGGTTCATTATGTTCTGATAAGGGACTGGAGAATGCTGGTTGTCAGGTGACCGTGCCCCTTGGCTTGCTTGAACAGACCTGGGGTGGAGAAGGAATGGCTTTCAGAGAGGCAGGACTGCATGGTGGTGAGGAGGATAGATTCTGCAGTCATACTGCTGGGTCTGCATCTTAGAAGCTGTGAGCCTTCAGTCAAGTGACTTTACCTCCCTTGCCTTCAAATTTCCTCATCTGTAAAATGGAGATTAAAAATAGTACCTGCCTCCAAGAGTTGGTGTTGGGAGCTTTAAATAAGTTAACATGTGTATTAGAATTGTGCCCGGCACATATGCTTAAATATTAGTTATTATTTTTCAAGCATTCTAGAGCCAAAGGGTGGGGATACTAAGTCTAGGGATTGGGGGAGCCCTTTGGCACTCACTCAGATATTTACGGAGCACTTACTAGGTGCCAAGCACTGTTCCACGCTGGAGATCTAAAAAGTGAACAGACGCACACAAATCCTGGCCTTCATGGAGCTTGTAAATTTGTAGTATGTTGATGGTAATAAAGGCTGTGTAGAAAAATAGAGTAACACAGATGGAGAGGGAGAAGGAATTGACACTTGAAATAGGGTAGTGAGGGAAGAGCTGGAGCCCAGAGACCCTAGAGGAAAGTGAGGGCAGAGGTAGAAGGGGCCTTTCATACAAGGTCTTCTAGGCCTTGGTGAGGATGATGGCGTGGACACTAAGCAAGATGTGGCTGTGACAGGTGGCAGGGAGACTAGGAAGGAGGCTGTTGGATACTCATTCAGTCAGCAGACATCTGGTGAATAACTACTGTATTGCAGTATATTACATTCCTTTTAAAAGGTGCATCTTTTTCGCCCTCAAATTGTTGTTAACAGTTTATGCAACATCCTTCAGATCTTTTCAGGGGAACATAAAAATAGTAGCTGTACTTATCTTGTGTTTATTTTGTATACTAACTCATCTACTCCTCAGAATAATCCTGGGAGGTAAACACTGTTGCCATTCCTGTTTTTTGTTTTGTTTTTTTTTTTTAAGATTTATTTATTTGAGAGCGAGAGCATGAGAGGGGGAAGGGTCAGAGGGAGAAGTAGGCTCTCCACTGAGCAGGGAGCCCGATGTGGGACTCAATCCTGGGACTCTGGGATCATGACCTGAGCCAAAGGCAGACTCAGCCACTCAGGTGCCCCATCCCTCTTTTATAGAAAAGGAAACAGACCCAGTTCATTCTGTGTCTTCATACACAAATCTTACAAAACTGGATTGAATTGCTATTTTCTTTGATGCCATAGGCTGTTGCAGACAGCTTTTTATAATAATACATTGAGACCTACCAGATTTATTTTACTGTTTTCCCTTCTCTTCTGGTTTTTGGTTTATCTTTTCATTTTTTTAAATATATATGTGTATGTAGGTATATATATATACATATATATATGTATATATATATGTATGTGTGTGTTTTGTAAAAAGGGAGCATGCAGCAAACATTGTCTTCCGCATGTTTTCAGTGAATATATGTTGGAATCCACTGTTTATCAATGTATAGAGATTTTCATTTTCTCATCCCTCATTTTTTTTTAAGATTTTATTTATTTATTTATTTGAGAGAAATAAACAGAGGTAGCAACAGAGAGAGCGAGAGAGAGTATGAGCGGGGAGGAGCAGGAGAAGCAGGCTCCCGCTGAGCAAGGAACCCAATGTGGGACTCGATCCCAGGACCCTGGGATCATAACCTGAGCCAAAAGCAGACGTTTAACCCACTGAGCCACCCAGGCACCCCCATCCTTTTTACAGTTGCATAGTATTTTATTATGTGGATTTATCATGTTTTTTCAGCCAGTCTTCCTGTTTGAGAACACTTGGGTTGCTAATAGTCTTTTGCTGTTAGGAATAATGCTGTAGTTGATCCTTATTAAATAGTTTTGCCAAGTGTGACTCTGGGACAGATGCCCAAAAGTCTTCCCTTCCCCTCTCCCCTTTTTAAAAAAACAACTCCATAGTATTCCATTTATTTTAACTAGGCCTTTTCTGATGTGTTGAATACTTAGCATGTAGGACTCTGACTGGTGTTCATCAGAGCTGTGTTGTAGAAAGCCTGCTGTCATGTCTGGTCTCGAGTACAGCCCAGATGGCAAGACGAGGCCCTGAAACCAGCAAGGTGTCTGCTGTGTGTTCATTTGTTCAGTCATTTGGCAGATGTTTGTGGCCAGCCTGCTATGTGCAAAGTCCTGGAGGTGGGGCCTGGCACTCCACAAGGGACTGCCTCCGGCCTGGGAGACATTCGTCTCTCCCAGATTATAACCCCTATATACACGCACAGTCTGAGACAGAGCCTGGATGGGAGAGGGGCTTCAGAAGACCCAACAGGGGCAGGACAGAACGGAAAGGAGGGTCGCGCCCTTTGTGGACGCGAAGTAGGGTGAAGGTCCACCCTATCCACGGGGCCCCAGGGCTTGATGGGTCCTCTTTTCTTCCAGGAAGTACCGGACAGCAGCCATGGCAGGCAGCAGTGGGGATAGTGTCACTCGGCGGAGCGTGGCGTCACAGTTCTTCACACAAGAGGAGGGCCCGGGCATCGATGGCATGACCACCTCAGAGAGAGTGAGCCTGGAGAGAAGGGCGTGGAATGGGGAGGCACAGCCCGGGTCTTTAGGGCAGTCCACCCCCGGGTGCAGAGCCCAGGGGTGCCAGAGGGGCTGGGCGGGCGAAGCTAGCGCCATCCCATGCCTCTCCCCCTCCTTCCAGGTGGTGGATCTCCTGAACCAGGCAGCACTGATCACCAATGATTCAAAGATCACAGTACTCAAGCAGGTGAGGGTCTGGGGTGATGCTGGGCTGAGCAGCCCAAGGGGAGAGGCTGGGAACATGTGAAAAAGAAGACACTGGTATAACGCTAGTGTCCACCTTTAAGCATTTAGGATATGCTTGCCGTGGTGCCCAATGCTGTACAGACATGCTCTCATTTAATTCTCACAAAAGCTCTGTGAAGCAGGGTAATTTGGTCCCCAGTTTCTATAGAAAGAAGCAGAGTCTCAGAACTTAAAATAATGAGCCTCAGGTCAGTCTGCTAGGAGCTGGCTGAACTAGGACTTGAATGCTGGATTCCAGCTCCAAATCCTATGCGCTTCATCCTTGTATTTCCTCTCTGCCTGGTTTCCGTCTAGTGGGGAAGACATGCAGGTCACCAGACAGTGGGAACAGAGTGGGCAGGCCTGGGATGGAGGAACCCAGCTTGCTGTGGGAGCCTCGAGGGGGCTGCTGCCCCAGCCTGGGGGTGGGGAGTCGGAGGGCTTTCCGGAAGAGGGGACATCGGAGCTGAGACCTGGAGGACGAGGAGAGAAGCCGGCTAAGTGAGAGAGGGAGAGTGTCTCGAGTGGAGTGTAGGGCACAATAGATTATGCAAAGGCAAAAGAAAACAGGAAGAATTGGAGGGAAGGGGCCACGTGCAGTTCAGACCGGGAGGCAGGTGAAGTTCAGGGGTCAGGGGGGTCAGGTCGCCTGGGTGAGAGCCCTAGTTCTGCTGCTTGCTCAGCGTGTACAGCCTGTAGCCTTGGGTAGCTGACTCAACCTCTTAGCAGTGGGAGCCGGGCCTGTGCTGGCACCGGGCTTTTATGAGAAAGTCTGTGGGAAGGGCTTATTCCAAAGAGCCGGGCAAGTCTAAGGGCATCAGAGATGGGTTCTCACTGTCATGAAATGCCTGCTGAATTGTGGCAGTGTGACTGGGGAGTAGAAACAGGAGGAGAGTGGAGAGTTGATGGATGAGCCTCAGGAAGGAATTCCTGCAGCACTCCCCTCTTCTTTAGCCCCCCTTGTGTGTCATGTGCTCACTACCGACCAGGACCTTACACCTTATAGGATCTTCTTACTAAAGCTTCACAAGAGCCCTATGAGTTGGTGTTTAAGATCCCCATTTCGTAGAAGAGCAGACAAAGTCGGAGGAAGCCATTTGCCCAGGCCATGGTTGGGAGTGGCAGAGCCAGATTTGAACTGAGTTTATCTGCTGCCTGCCTCCATGCTGTTTTCTCCTACACGCTCCTGTCTGTACTGATTGGAGCCTGGTTTTATATGTGTGGCCCTCCTCCTCATCCCCAGTGTCCTTCCAGGTCCAGGAATTGATCATCAACAAAGATCCTACACTACTAGACAACTTCCTGGACGTGAGTGACCAATGGGAGATAAAGGGTGTGGGTATAGGGGTAAGGGGATGGATCCTGGTACAGCCCTGACCCGCCTTCCTGATGTTGGCAGGAGATCATCGCTTTCCAAGCGGACAAGTCGATCGAAGTGCGCAAATTTGTCATTGGCTTCATCGAGGAGGCATGGTATGGGGTGACGCAGGGAGCCCCTGGGAGCACCCCTGGTGGAGATAGCCTCTTCAGCTCCCCACCTGGCCCTGCCCTCTGCTTCTTGGACCCATTTTCCCTCCCATGCACACTGATTCCTCAGCAAATATTTAATAAGGTTGAAGTCTTAGAGTCATTCATGATTGCTCTGCTTCTCTCACACTTCATATCTATGTCATCAGTAAGGACTGTTGGCTCTACCTTCAAAATTTAAACAGCATCTGACCATCTTTCAACCACTTCCTTGGCTGTTAGGCTGCTCCAAGCCACCATTACCTCCCACCTAGGTGGCTCCAGTGGCCTTCTGTCTGGTTACCCGGTTTCCCCTCTCTCTCTTCTGTTTAATTGAAGTAAATTCACATACCATAAAATTAACTATTTTTAAATGAACAATTCAGTGACGTTTAGCACATTTACCCATCTAGTTCCAATGCATTTTTATCCTCCCCAAAGGAAATACCAGACCCGTGCTCTGCTTCCTCTCTCACAGTAGCCAGAGTGATCCTCTCGGCTCTCCCCTGCTCTCAGAGCTCCACTGGCCCACTGGCTCACTTAGATCGAAACCCAGACTTCTCCCCGTCACCTCATCTTCTGGTGCCCTCCCTGATCTTCACCCACATCCTCTGGCCTCCCTGTTCCTCAAAACACACTGTTCTCTCAGCTTACTGTACCCGCAAGGGATGCTCACCCCCAGGGAGCCCCCAGCTCATTCCTTCACTTGACTCTGGTCTTCCTCAGCCAGCCTTTCCTGGCTCTGCCAGTGCAGCCCCCCACCTCTGGCATACAGTCTGCACTGTTCTTTATGGTGTCCTCACTAGCCGGAATGACCTTGATGCTTGTCTTCCCCACAAAAATGTCAGCCCCCCGAGGGCAAGCCTTCTCTGTATTGTGGACCGCTGTATGCCCATGCCTAGGACGGTGTTGGCACATGGGAGGCACTGAATACGTATTTGTTGAACAAGGATTTCACTGTAGTGGTGACCACATGGGAAGCTTACTCTGCCATGCGCTATGTTAAGTCCCCTCCTCTGTTTTCACCTGAAACTTTCACAGCAGCCTTGGGAAGGGAGGCTTTGTTTTCCTCCTTTTAAGGAAAGGGAAACTGAGGCTCAGAATGATAAAGTGATTCATTCAAGCTGAGTTATTTGTTCATTCAACATTCATCAGATGCTTTGTGACTCAGAGGAAATAAAATAGCCCCTAAATAGTGACGGTTTTCTCTTTGTCGGGCATTATACTAAATGCTTTACCTAGTTTGTTACGTACTTAGATCTTCAAAAATAAGTTAAGTTATGTGGATAAGTTATGTGGCCCATTTATCACAAGACAAAACTGTGACTCATAGAGGCGAAGTGAGTTTCTTAAGGCCAAAAAGCCAGTGTGTGGCAGGGCTGGGATTTTAACCCATATCTGTAATGCTATTGCCCAAATTCGTAATCTCCACCTTTTACTGGGAGAATTTGTGGTAAATTTCAATATATGTTCAACAGGTATGTGCCAGGCATTTGTGTCTCAGGCTGTAGGAATACAACAGTGAGTAAATACAGATACTGTTTCTGACTTCACGTAGCTGGCAGTTGAGTTTCTTTTTTCTTTTTTCTTTCTTTTTTTTTTTTTTTTAAGATTTATTTATTAGAGCATGTGAGCGGGGGGGAGGTGGTGGGGAGGGGCAGAGGGAAAGAGAGAATCTCAAGCCCTGCCTCAGGGCTCAATCCCATGACCCTGAGATCATGATCTGAGCCGAAATCAAGAGTTGGCCGCTTAACGGACTGAACCACCCAGGTGCCCCGAGTTTCATATTTTTTGACTGATTAGCTTAATATTTAACTTCAGATTATAGAATGTTGTAAAAATTATATTCATGATCTGAGCTCTAGGTGTGGCCTTCTTGAATTTTTTTAATTCATCAAACAAATAGGTATTTCATTCTTCAACAAAAAATGAGACTCTGCTTGTATGACTAGAAAGGGTCCCCCACCTTCAGAGCCCTCGGGACTGAGGTAAACAAATTAGTGAACAAAACTAGGGGTTACATAAAACAAAGTGCTTAAAGGTAATGACAGCTAATATTTCCGAATGCTTTCTATACTGTTCTAAGTACTTTACAAGTATTGTTGCAGTGTTCACAACAAGCTACTACAAGGGAAGTACTATCCTAAATGAGACAGTTGGCTTGTCCATTTGTCTGGCTGTGCTGCCCCTCATGGGAACAGCAGGGCCCTACTAGAGTAAAAGAGTGGGCATTTGCAGGACTAACCCAGAGAGAGGGTTCATGGGTGGCTATGTCCGAAGATGCCAGGCATTGTTCTCAGTTTCTGGACGTGCTGACAAACGAGACAGATGCAGTCCCTGACTTCCCCCCCCACCCAACTCCAGTCTCCTGACAACACCTGACCGGCTCCCATCACATACCCCAAGACCACTTTGACCTTGACCTTTTTTCTCTATCCCCCAGCAAGCGAGACATTGAGTTACTGCTAAAACTGATCGCAAACCTCAACATGCTCTTGAGGGATGAGAATGTGAATGTGGTGAAAAAGGCCATCCTCACTATGACCCAGCTCTACAAGGTGGCCCTGCAGGTGAGTGCTCCCTCCCACCTGGGAGCATCCCGATCTGACAGGTCTCATTTATAGCTTTTGTTGGGACACAGGGGCAGGTCTGTTAAACCAGGGACAGATCAAATTCTTTACGGGCAAGATGTGCTGTTGATCTCTGGGAACAGACAACAAAGGGATCTAATGTCCTAATGGTCAGGGAATCGCCATTAATCCATCCTTCCATCCATCCATCCATTCATGCACTTAACAAACATTCCCTGAGTACTTCCTCTGTGACTCAGATGGGTTGGGTCCTGCCTTCATGGTGCTCACGGCCCAGTGAGGGAGGTAGATGCTTATCAAAGAATCACAGAAATCTTAATTTTGTACCGAGGTAAGTGCTGTAAGGAAAAGCACCCACTGTGGTGTCGTGTTCATTAGCATTAATGAAATAAATGAATCCGTTTACTCTCGGCCACCACGTTGTGAGGGCAGTATTGTTATTCCTGTGTCTTAAGATTTGAGCCTCTTCACTCTGGGTTGTCACTGTCTGTGAACCTCATGAGGGCAGAATCAGACTTGGTCGTGGTCACCCCTGGGTCTTGTCCCCAGTGTCATCTAGCACGGGGCCTGGGGCAGAGTTGTAGCTCAGTACATGTTTCCCAAAGGAATGTATTCATCGTCATTATGGGTCTCTGGGTAGTGATAGAGTTGGCAGTTGATGTCTTGTCCCCATCTCTCTGTCTCCGTTCTTCCCTGGCCCCCTCGCAGTGGATGGTAAAGTCACGAGTCATCAGTGAGCTCCAGGAGGCCTGCTGGGACATGGTGTCTGCCATGGCTGCGGACATCATTCTGCTGCTGGATTCTGACAATGACGGCATCCGCACCCACGCCATCAAGTTTGTGGAGGGCCTCATCGTCACCTTGTCGCCCCGCATGGCTGACTCGGAGGTGCCCCGACGCCAGGAGCATGACATCAGCCTAGACCGCATCCCTCGTGACCACCCCTATATCCAGTACAGTGAGTGCCACCCATCAGCCCATCCCATTGGTCAGTCACTAACTACTCTGACTCCCTTCCTCCCTCTTTCCCTCTCCCTTCTCTTTCTTGGTTTTTCATTTCTGGAGACAGTAGAAGACATTGATTAAGAGGGGCGCCTGGATGGCTCAGTCAGTTGAGCATGACTCGGTTTTGGCTCAGGCCATGATCTCAGGGTCATGGGATTGAGCCCATCGGGCTCCATGCTCAGCACAGAGTCTGCTTGAGATTCTTTCCCCTCCTCCCCTACTTCTGCCCCAGGTGCGCACACGCACACTCACTCTCTCTGAAATAAATAAATAAACAAACAAACAAAAATAAATAAATAAATAAATAATCGATCGACCGACATTGGTTAAGAGCCCTGATGCTAGGTTCTCATCCCAGCTTCACCGCTTATTATGTGAACTTGGGCAGGTTTTTTCTCTCTGACCTTCATTTCCTTTTTTGTAAAGTAGGTGATAGTATTACCCTTTTCATGAGTTTGTCATGAGGTTCCATGAGGATGTGAGCACTTAGTAAATGGTAGCTAGTTTTAACTGATTTTTAAGATTTATTTCTTTGAGAGAGAGCATGAGCATGAGTGGGGGGAGGGGCAGAGGAGAGAATCTTCAAGCCGACTCCTCACTGAGCAGAGCCCAAAGCAGGGCTCATTCTCATGACCCATGAGATCAAGACCCCAGCCAAAACCAAGAGTTGGACACTTAACCAACTGAGCCACCCAGGTGCCCCATTTTTTAAAATTTTCATTTATTTGTTTATTTTTAGGGAGACAGAGTGTGTGCATGTGCAAGTGGGGGTAGGCAGAGGGAGAGGGAGAAAGAGAATCTTAAGCAGGCTCCACACCCAGCACGGAGCCCAAGGCAGGGCTCAGTCTCACAACCCCGAGATCATGACTCAAACCGAAATCAAGAGTCACCTAGGCACCCGTTAATGGTTTTCGTAATTGCAAATTATAAGCATAGTACATGTACACTACTGAAGTATCAAGCAAAGCATACAGAGGGGTGTAAAGGGAAAATACCACCCCCCAGTCCTACTTTCCAGAGATAAACAGTACTAAGAGTATGTTTCTTTCCAGACCTTTCTTAGGCAGGAATGGACATTTTGTATATATGTATGTTCATAGAGCCTGCAATTGTTGGCTTTTCTTTTTTATGAAGATTTTTTTTTTTAAAGATTTTATTTATTTATTTGAGAGAGAGAATGAGATAGAGAGAGAGCACGAGAGGGGGGAGGGTCACAGGGAGAAGCAGACTCCCCGCTGAGCAGGGAGCCCGATGCGGGACTCAATCCCGGGACTCCAGGATCGTGACCCGAGCCGAAGGCAGTCGCTTAACCAACTGAGCCACCCAGGCGCCCTTTTATGAAGATTTTATTTATTTATTTGTCACAGAGAGAGAGAGAGCACAAGCAGGGGAAGTGGCAGGCAGAGGTAGAAGCAGGCTCCCTGCTGAGCAAGGAGCCCAATGCTGGGCTTGATCCCAGGACCCTGGGATCATGACCTGACCAAAGGCAGACGCTTATCCAACTGAGCCACCCAGGTGCTCCTCCAGTATGTTTTTGCATAGAAAATGTCAAGGAAGGTATCCACCAAAGTTGTTAAGGGTTAACTTTTGGGGACCAGATCAAGGAAAGTGGTGGTACAAATAACTTTGAGTGCTTTGTCTATGTGTACGTATGCATATCTACATATTTAAAGTTTTATCTCAACATCACTCATATCATCAGATTCCTATAGTTGGATATTTAAAATCATTTCTAGTCTTTCACTGTTGGAACCCCATGTTTTGAGCATCATCTCTTAATTTTTATTTATTTATTTTTTTCTTAATTAAGCTCCATACCCAATGTGGGGCTTGAACTCATGACTCTGAGATTAAGAGTTGCATGCTCTACCGACTGAGCCAGCCAGGCACCCCTAAATTTTTATATTCATTAATCGTCTATCTCATAGGACTCCTCAACCACTAGATTTTCTGTTTTTTCAGCCCTTCCGAGCCATCGTGTAAGAGTCTTTCTCCTTTTGGCCCTAAAGTCTGCTCTCTCCAGAGGCCAGGGAGAAAGGCCCCTGCTAACTGGTACTCTTCTCTCCCTCATTAGATGTGCTGTGGGAAGAAGGCAAGGCAGCCTTGGAGCAGCTACTCAAGTTCATGGTGCATCCCGCCATCTCCTCCATCAACCTGACCACGGCGCTGGGCTCCCTTGCCAACATCGCCCGCCAGAGACCCATGTTCATGTCAGAGGTGATCCAGGCCTATGAAACCCTGCATGGTAGGTTGGTCCTCTCCCCTCCCGCTCTCCGCTGGCCAGTCTGCTCTGTCCAGAGAAAATGTGAGCTAGGTAGCAGATCCCTGAGGGATTCATCAGTCTAGTAGGTCTGGACATAGGAAGCATGCTCTAGATTAGACAGGAATCTTTTGGTTGCATGTGACAGAAAGCTGGTTCAAAGCTGTCTTTAATATTAAGGTATGTGTGGGTGAAATGACATGATGTCTGCGAAATACTTTCTTGCACCCCAACAACCAAAAAAGAAAGCAGAAGGGAAAGTGTTGATGGGTACCTGGTGATTTGTTATAGTCTTTTCTCTACTTTCATGCATGTGTGAAAACTGAAATGTCCGGGCTCGAAGTGTGAATATGAACAGATCGTGGATCTGTCTCCCATTTCTTGGCTCTTATTTTCTCCTTGTTGGCTTTGTTCTGTTGTGTGTCTCTTTCCTTGGGGTAACAAAGATGGCCCCCGATAGCTCCAGGCTTCCATTCTATCCACTTGGCAACCCCAGGGGACAGAGTGTTTCCTTCCCCATCATTCTAGCAAAAGTCCAAAGGCTGATGCCCATTGTTCCTGATTGGCTGAGCAGACATTGGTAGCTTATCTCTGAACCAATCACAATGGCCAAGGGATTGCATTGTTCTGAGTGGCCCTGAGTCTCTTGCCCACTTGGACTGAGAATGGAGCCCGGGTGGTTCCCTCAAAGGAAAATGGGAGCATTGTTGGCTGAGAAAGGAGGGAAGGATGCTGGGCAGGCAAAATTACAGGCATCCTCTTTCTCTGTGGAACAGGGAAGGCTTGTTCATCAAGGTGACTGTTAGACATTGGACAATCATTCTGGTGGCAGGACCAGCGAGGCGCACTGTTGGGGCCGTTCAGTTGGGGCATTGTGGAGGTGAAGGTAGTGATGATAGCCTTCCCCAGGGGAGGCGCACTGGAATTTCCAGACCAGAGATGGGGGGAGATGAGCCTTTACATTTAATCAAAGGAAGGGTGAGCTTCCTCTTTGTTTTAAGGTTGACTAATCCTGATGGAGACCTTTTGAGGGTTTTAAGCATCAGCTTGTACAGGGGGAAGGCTACATACACAGTAGATCCGAGAACAAAGGAATTTTTCTAGGAGGTTCTTGCCACCACCGCCCAAGCTGGGGCTTGGGCTGTGAGACGAGCAGGGACACGTGGGCTGTGTCCACAGAACAAAGCTCCTGCTTCTTTACTCACAGCCAACCTGCCCCCGACGCTGGCCAAATCTCAGGTGAGCAGTGTGCGCAAGAACCTCAAGCTGCACCTGCTGAGTGTCCTGAAGCACCCAGCCTCCTTGGAGTTTCAGGCCCAGATCACCACGCTGCTGGTGGACCTGGGCACACCCCAGGCCGAGATCGCCCGCAATATGCCCAGTGGCAAGGATGCCCGCAAGCGGCCCCGAGATGACTCGGATTCCACGCTCAAGAAGATGAAGCTAGGTGAGCTGAGGAGCTGAGCCAGGCCTGGCCAGAGGTGGTGGCGGGGACTGACCATGTTTACAGTATTCAGTTACTTACATTAAATTATGAGTTTGATTTGTATTAGTTAATATTATATTGTAAATTACAGTATATAGATATGACATAGAAGGTGATATCAAAATAGAATTAATGAAGTGTGCAATATACATAAAAGTAATGATGAATTACTTAAATCTTGCAGAAAGGCATGGAATGAAAAGTCTCCCTCTTACTCCTCTCCCCAAAAGTAACCACTCCCCTATAGTAACACTTATGTTTTCTTTCAGAAATACCTGAGTTCTCCTTTCCTTTGTTTCCTTTATAATTGGATTTTCTTTCTGAAGTAATTTCTTTTTTTTTTTTTAAGATTGATTGATTTATTTTAGAGAGAGAGCCCCAGGGTGGGGCGGGAGGAGGGGCAGGAAGAGAGAAAGAGAAAGAATCCTCAAGCAGATGCCCACTAAGCGCAGAGCCACTTGCGAGGCCTGATCTCACGACCCTGAGATCACGACCTGAATCAAAACCAAGAGCTGGGTACTTCACCGACTGAGCCACCCAGGCGCCCTGAAGTAATTTCTTGATGGTTGTATTATTTTGTCAATAGTGTCAACCACGGCAGCCCTCCTTAATCCACAACTTTTTTTTCTGAATCACTGATGTTTGTTTCCAGAATGTTTATGAGAGAATTGGATTTTTTAATTATTATTTTTAAAAATAAGGGATTTTTTTATTTTATTTTTTTAAAAGATTTTATTTATTCATCTGAGACACAGAGATAGAGAGAGAGCATGAGCAGGGGGAGAGGCAAAGGGAGAGGGAGAAGCAAGCTCCCCGCTGAGTCAGGAGCCCGATGTGGGGCTCGATCCCAGGACCCTGGGATCATGACCTGAGCCGAAGGCAGACGTTTAACCATCTGAGCCACCCAGGTGCCCCAAGGAATTTATTTTGGTACAAGGAGTGAGGTAGAGATCTACTACCTTCTTCCATAATTGAGCATGCAAAGCAGAGTTTCTATACCTTAATATGTTTAGTAGTCATCTTAGAGTTCCATCCATATCTGCACATAGATACCTACTACATCCTTTTAATGGTGGAATAATAGTCTATAGTGCACGTAGATTGCTTTAACCAGTCCTCCTGTTGATGGACATTTGTGTCTTTTTTTTTTAAATAATCTCTGTAAAGATTGCTATAGTATGAGAGTCTTGAGTGCATGTCCAGTTACAGGACGGATTCCTAGTAGTGGGGTTGGTGCATTTAAAGCTGTTTTTTTGCCCACCTTTTTTATTGTTCTGTTTCCTCAAATGTTTTATTTTGAAGTAATTTTGGACGTGCAGACAAGTCACAAGAATAGTCCTGAAAGCTCCTGCATACCCCTGATGAGGCGAGGCTCACATGTTTCATTCAGTTGTCGCACCCCTTTGGCCTCCCTAATCCGTTCTGCAGCATTCCTCTGCTTCATGACCTTGCCATTGTGAAGAGTCCAGGACTACTGTTGGGCGAAATGTCCCCCTGTTTGGGCTCGTCTGCTCTGGCTTCTTGACTGCATCCAGGTTCTGCACTTGGGGCAGGGACGCTGCAGAGTTGATGCCCTGACCGCCTCTGTGTGGTGTCAGGAGGCACATGATACCAATTTGTCACCTTATTGGTGATGGGAGTGTTGATCACTTGGTTGAAATAGTGTCTCCCAGTTTTCTCTAGTATCAAGTGCACTTTTCCCCATTGTAAATACGAAGTTGAGGGAGATACTTGTACTCTGTAAAACTACCTGTTTCCCTTGACTTTGACCCGGTGGTTTTAACATCTGTTATTGCTCTAATGAGCTTTCCTTCTACATTTATTAGTTGGCATTCTGTAAGGAAGAGCTTTCTTCTCCCTACTTTATTATCAGTTGCAGTTGTGGATTCTTACTCTCTGGGTTGTAATCCATTACTCTCGGTACTCATTTTGTGGCTCACATTGCCTCATACTGAGCCAAGGGGAGCCTTTGAGCTGGCTCCGATGACCCTTTGATGTGTCCTGTTAGTTTTTTTGAGTATTTCTTATTTTCTGGCACAACAAGATGTTCTGGACTCTTCTTGTACTTTCCTTACCCCAGCCTGGGAATCAGCCTTTTCCGTAAGGAGCCCTGGTTTCTTTTAAGCAGGGAGTAGTTTCAGAAACCGAGATCTGAGCACTGGATGTGCCCGTTGCTACTGGGTGCATGGACATTCTTGATTGCCGTTGCCAAACTGTTTTCCACAAAAACTGCACGACCATACACACCCCCACTGGTGTGTGAATGCCCGTTACCCCACTCTACCCAGCCCTGGATGTTCCATAAACCCGCTGAGTATAAACGGTATCCCTGGTTTAGATTCGCTTTCTTGCACATGTTGGAGTCAGGCTGTGTGTCGTTTTACATTTATTAGCCATTTGCATGTCTTTGAAGTGCCCATTCTGTTCAGCCTTTTGTAACTGAATTATATGTGCCCTTGCTCTTCTTGGTTAATGCAGGGTATCAGCTTTCTGTTACGTGCATTGCAAACTTTTTTAAGAGACTGAATAACAGGGGCACCTGACTGGCTCAGTCAGTAGAGCATGAGACTCTTGATCGTGGGGTCGTGAGTTCAAGCCCCATGCTGGGCATGGAGCCTACTTTAAAAAAAAAAAGTACCGTATAACATTGCATCGTATTTTTGCCATAATCTACTTAAATCATCATCCTATTAAACATTCCAGCTTCAGGGAACATCTTTATACATAAAGCTTTTTCTCCATACATTGTACCTTCAGTATATATTTATACGAGTTAAGGGTCAATATCTAGAAGTCGATTTTCTGGGTCAAAAGGTACGCACATTTAAAAGTTGGCACTACGGTTAAATTGCCCTTCCAAAAGACCATACCAGTGTACATTTGCACAGTCCTAATTTGCACAGTACTAACAGCTATCGCTACTGGCCTTTTTATTTTTTTGTCAATCATGTAGGCAAAAAGGCTATCTTACTAGGTTGTCTTTACATTTTCCTGATTCCTGGTGAGGTTGAGCAGTATTTCAAAGATAGAGGTTTTTAAACAATAAAGCTCAGTGAAATTACTAGTTAACCTTTTCACCTTCTTGGAGTTTAGTGTGATCAGCCAGGCTGGTGTGGCTTATTCCCATTTCTCAGATGAAGAGAACAGGGCACAGACAGAAGCAGGTTGTTTCCCCAAAGTCACGCGGTGCTTTGATGACAGAGCACAGCTACAGCCCAGGTCTTCGCCCACTGCACTCTGCTGCTTGCTAAGGCTGCGTGGAGGCAGGGACCCCCTGGGCTCCCTAGGAGGGGAGAGGGCCTGTTGCTCTCTTGGACACCAGCATCTTGTCTCCTTCCCTCTCCCAGAGCCCAACCTGGGGGAAGATGATGAGGACAAGGACTTGGAACCAGGCCCGTCGGGAACCTCCAAGGCCTCAGCCCAGATCTCAGGCCAGTCAGACACAGACATCACAGCCGAGTTCCTGCAGCCCTTGCTGACACCTGACAATGTGGCCAATCTGGTGAGCATGGGTGTGGGCCATTTCCTACAGGGGAAGGAGGAAGGGTTTCTACTCCTTTTCCTATCCTTCACTGCACACTGCCCACCTCTTCCAGATGGCATTAGTCCCAGCACACCTCTCTGTTCCTCTGTTGGGAGGGTGTGGTCCAGTGGGCCCTCAATCTTGGATGGACCTTTTCTCTGATCTTTACTCCTTTAGGAGATCCCTTGTCACCACCCCCCAACAGTCCTTCTTTGGATAGTCTTGAGTCCCCATCTGAACCCCCCCACACCTCTCCTTTGAAGGGAGGGTAGATTAACTGGAGAGCAAACCCCATGACTTGTTGGCTAGGTGGTGGGGGATTGGCATTGGTGGGGTGGAATGGCAGTGTTTTCCTTAGATTGTCAAAGATATCCTGCTCTACAGTGAAAGAACCGCTGGGTTGAGTTGGTAGTGTGTGTGGGGGGGTGTCTCACATCAGTCCTCGGGCTGTAGCAGCACCCAGACCTTTCCATTGGGTGCTCATGGACAATGCCTCTTCATCAGTCTCCCTCGGCCTTCCCTTCCCTCTGCCTAGAGACTCCACGAGGCTTAGTTGTTGGGTGAATGAAGTGGAATTTTTGTCACCAGGGTAGCAAAAAGGAGTTTTCTGTCCCGCTCAGATCTCTTTGGTGAGCTCCAGGCCTGGAAAGGCGTCTGCCTCTTGCATCGTTCTCCCCTTGGAAGTTCCACAGGCACCGCAGACTCATTATGTCAGAATAAACCTGTGGAATCTCTCCCTGTGCTTTTCTGCAGGCCCTCGGCGCTCTGTGTTCTTGGCACGCCAGCCTCCCAGTTCCCGACCCACAAACCTGGGAGTTAAGCTCTTCGCCTCCCGCCAGACCTTCCCGTCTTCTCCATCTCCCCTGGCCCCTACCTGGCCCAGGCTCCACCTGCCTGCGCCCTGGCTCTGGCTTCCACTCCCCCTGCCGCAGCCAGAAGTACAGATTGTGAAGCTCCCCTGCTCCAGCCCTGCCAGGGCTCTCTGTTTCCTTCCAGATCAAATTTGAATGCAGCCCACCTTAAGCCCTGTCTGGTGATGCTTCTGTTAACTCGTGGTACCTGGTCTGTCCTCTTCACGCTCTTTTCGAATTATTGGCCTAAAGTTCTTCACAGGATTCTTTTTTATTTTTATAATACCTGCTGTCTGTGTAGTAATGTGCAGCTTTTTTGTCCCGAGTATTGGGTTCTTAACTCCTTTTTTTGTTGTTCAGTCTCACCATCAATTTGTTTGTTTTCAGTCATTTGAAAGAACCGGCTCTGAAGTTTCACTGATACTCTTTTGTAACCTTTTCTGTTTTATTTCTGTTGTCCTTATTCTTCCCTGCTGCTTTTGAATATTTTATCCCAGCGTTTTAAGTTGATTTGCTTGGCTCAAGAGTTTTCAACCATCTTTTCCAATGTAAGCATTTAAGGATCTGATTTTCCGTGAAAGAACCATTTAGCTGCATCCCACACATTTTGATTTGTAGTGATTTCATTCTCTCTCTGTTCTAATTATTTTCTTATTTCAGGTATATATTTAAACCTCTAAGCGTGTAGGGCGTTGGAAATGACCTTTTGTTACCAATTCCTGACAATTCCTGGATGAGCTCTTGTTAGGATACCGATTTTTTTTTTTTTAAAGTCCTTTTCTGGTTCATAGGACACTCTTCACTGAACTTGCAGTCTCTGGGCAGGGTTCTGCTGCTGCTCAGCCTTCCCCCATGCTGCTGCTCTGCCTGGAATCTGTACCCTGCTCCCACTGCAAAGCATCCCCCTGGGCCAGCCTGAAACTGGCCTTCCTCTCAGTTCTAAGCCTAGCTGCCACTTCCCCCGGGAGCCAAAGCCGCTCCTGACGTTTCTCATGGCCCCCTTTATTTCCCGCTCTCGTGTACCACAATGCACCATTGCCTGTTCTCTCTCTGACTTCCCCAGGAGTCTGAGCCCCACAGGAGCAGGCCCAGGACTGTCTTAGTCACTTCCATGTCCCCAGCCTTGGCCCGGCATGGAAGAGAGCCTTGTTGAGTCAGTGAGTAAGGAAGGGCTCCTCTCCCCGGGCATCCTGCAGGTCCTCATCAGCATGGTGTATCTGCCTGAGGCCATGCCCGCCTCCTTCCAAGCCATCTATACCCCAGTGGAGTCAGCAGGCACTGAAGCCCAGATCAAGCACCTGGCTCGGCTCATGGCCACACAGATGACGGCTGCAGGACTGGGGCCAGGTGAGTGTCCTTTGGCGCTGGCCCTGACCGGGGATTGGCACTGTGGCTGCTGGGTTCTCCTTCCTGGAAGAGCACCTCCTCAGGGCGGTACAAATGAAACTCACATGAGATATTAGGTATAAACAATTATAGGTCCCATAGATACACTGAGTGCTTAATATTTTCAGGCCCTGGGCTTTGAATCCGGCGGACCTGGATTTGAAGTCTCAGTTGAACCAGACTACCTCAGCCACGCAATAGCAGTGTGACTTTGGTCAAGTTACTGAACCTCTCTGACTTGGGTGTTTTCCTACATTAACAATACTAGTGAGATATAAATTATGTACAGAGAAACACAACTCTTAACTGTATATCTTAGTGAATTTTCACAAAGTGAACACACCCATGTAGCCACCACCCAGATGGAGATATAGACCATTTCCACCACTCCAGAACATTCCTTCTTGCTCCTATCCAGTCAGCACTGATAGCACCCCACCTCCTGAGAGAATCACTTTTCTGATTTCTGTCTCCATAGATTAATTTTTCCTAATCCTGAACTTCATATAAACGGGATCATAGAGAGTCTGGCTTCTTTTGCTCAGCACAAATTTTTTTTTTTTTTTTTAAGATTTTATTT